ACTCCCATTCCCCATCCCCCTGCGCTGCTTGCGGGGAGGAGGAGGAGAATTTGGGAGTGAAGTTGCGCCTGGGAAGAAGGGAAGGGTAGGGGTGAAGGTGTTTAAAGATTTGGTTTTATTTCTCATTACCTACTCTGATTTGATTGGTAATAAATTTCCCCAAGTCAAATCTGTTTTGCCCGTGACAGTAACTGGTGAGTGATCTCTCCTTGTCCTTATCTTCACCCAGGAGCCTTTCGTTATATTTTCTCTCCCCTCCCAGCTGAGGGAGGGAGTGATAATGTGGTGGGCACCCGGCCTCCAGCCAGGGTCAACCCACCACAGGACCAGTCAGAAAAAATGCTAGCCAATGCAACTTGTACAAAAGACAGCAACTTTGAGCCCAGAACACCCAAAAGCATGCACCTACAAGTGACCACGTGCATGAGTGCACGCAGCCTGGCTTGTTCATAACCCAAAAAATCCCGTAAGCCAAGAAAACAAACTTCATTCTTTCCCCCCGAGTGGGAGTTTGTTTAGCGCAAGCACTTGTTTCAGACATCTGACTAGGAAAAGAGTTCCAAAACATTTTTTTTTTTTCAATAAAGTCCTTACATATTGAATAGGCTTGAGGGATTTGATTGTAGCAGTCGGGCAGCCACAGGAACTGAGGTCAACGTAGAGGCCTTCTTCCAGCACACAGTGATTGTCAGTGATTTCCCCTTGGTAATACAGGAGCCAGCTGCAAGAATAATGTAACAAAAAAGATTAGCTGCTCTAGCTGCTTATTAAGTTTTTTTCAAGATTTAATATCTGCTAAGGATATAAGGAATAAAAAATTTGTTTGTTCTTGTTAAGCTTAAAAGTAAGGTGATTTGAGAGGCTTGCGACAAAGTAACCAAAGCAGCAAAATCAAATCACATGGTACAGAAATCTCGGTTCCAGAGTCAAACGACGCGAGTGGAATGCAGACATTTCTACTGTACCGAGTTCTCAAAATCTGGAATAAATTCTAACTGGAGTTAAAAAAAGAATCACAGTAACTGTGCAAACTTCCCACAGGGAAAGCAGAATGCATACTACCCAAACCAATAACAAGACAACAGTTACTGAGATGCATTGTAAGACAAAGTGTCTAAGACATGATGGAATACGATGGCCATGTGTTATGCACTTTCAGCTGTCTGAAATTTAGTAGTATTTAAAAAAAAAAAACCATATTACTTAAAATGGTGGCATGTAAAACAACAGACTTACCATCCCCGAAGAACCTTAAAAGAACATGGTATGAATGATGTAAAATCAGAAACTTCTGCTGTGAAATCTATACATGCTCCTTGGAAATGTGTGTTACTGAAAGCTTTGAGCTACAAGAACAAAACAAAACAAAACCAATGACTAGGAGGAAAATGAACACATCATCATTAATGTAAACAGAGATAGCTGTGCTCTTAGAGAAGTATCCATTCAGTTCACAAGGACACAATAAACAGAATGAATTCTCATTTAAGGAATCTTTTATGTTGCTATAGCTGCTTTATTTTTAGAAAGATCAAGTGTTTTAGCATCTCTGAGCCCGGTACAGGATACTTTCCAGTGATGCTAAGGCAGAGGTATCAAGCATAAGTTCAACCGCAGTAGGAGAGGGCCCAGAGAAAAAGAGAAGGCTAGGATTGAAGGATGTTATCATCCATCCAATGTAACCACTGAACTGCAGCAATCCGGTGTTCAGAACAGGATGGGGAAGCGTTGGTCAAAAGATACAGGGCTACTGTTGACAAAGTGCCTTGAAATCTTCTGTGAACACAGTGATCGCAGGTAGTTTCTCACTGAAGAACTAGCAGGAGAATTTCTGGGGGAACTGGGTACAGCCTGGTAGATGCACTCCGAACTTCCTAAGTTTGGCTAAGCTGTTTTTACACGTCATAGTGAAGAACTTCAAGCCACATTGAACCATACTCCACCAGTAAGATGTGATTAATTCACCTTGAAAAAGCAATAAGGTTGAAAGTGTTGCAGTAAAAGAAAATAAAAAAGGAAAAAAAGTAGTATAATATAGCCTAAGATCTATAGCAAAGTCACCTAGAATTCTGTACCCTTGGGCTGCCACTGTGTAACTGAGGTGAATTTCAAATCAAAGCCTGAAAGAGAGGCTGGAAAAGAATGAAAAATTTAACTGCATCAAGAGAACAGCTCATATTTTGTAATGGAAGAAAAACACAACGGCTGTTGCAAGAGCTACTTCCCCCTTCATGCCCCAAATTGGCCTAGCTTCCTGCCAAAGAAAAGAAATCAAATGCTTTTGCCAGTACCGAGTGAGAAGGCCAAACACAAGTATTAGCAAATATCTTACGGAAAAGTTCAGTCTATGTTTTTTAAAAGAAATGAATATGTTTCCCGTTAGAAAGAACAAGAAAGGCTTAACCTGGCCTTGCATGTTGTAATTGCAAATTGGAGAACACAAATCAGCTACAATATAATGAATGAAGTGTTAACTGTTTTTTTTTCTGTAAATATAACTGCACTGCTGTGTCACAAAGCATCTATTTAAGTTGTAATTAAATAGTATTTGCTACCCACTTATCTCAAAGCTCTTTATACAGGACTATATATACACACTTTCTTTCATAGGCCAGATGCTATGCAAGGCTTTTTAAAGAAGATCTGTAACTCATTTTTATACAGAATATATCTAATAATGAAGGATGGTCTTCATTTGACAAAAGCTAGGGTGAAGTACCGATTCCTCAGTGAAAACATTGCATATCTGCAATTAGTCTCAAACTGCAGCTATCTCCACTTTGTCAGAGTTTAACATTACTATAGAACGTGTCGCTTCCTAAAAAGTCAATGGACAGCATGTTAAAATACAAATACAAATTATCACAGCAATTATCTCTGCTTCCTAAATCATCTGTACAAGTCAGCTGCTATTGAAAGAGGCTTTGTTCTTGCTGGGCAAAACCAAGTTTTATTTTTAATAAATAAAATGAATGGCTTTTTAGAGTTGGTGATTTCAGGCATTCTTACATTGTATGTACTTTGTTTATTAGGGAGCCTAGCAGGAGGAAAAGGTCAGGGGAGTTACTGAGAGATTTAAGAAAATTTAGTTGCTTTTCCATTTCTGATGAGCAATTAAAAACAGAAGCGAGAGACAGACACACTCTTGCAGAGAGTGAAAACAGTTCCCTTAGCTCAGACATATGTTTATTAAAGGTGGGAGAACGCATAATCATTCAAAATAACCAGAATATGGCTTATACAAGGGTCAAACATTAGGATGCTTAAGGATTTGCCAGCTCATACACAGCACGCTTTGAAGTTCCAAACTAAAGAGACTGTTGCATACAGAGAAACTTTTATTTTACTGTGAATGGGAAATTCTTCATATTTATCCAAAAGACCATCCTTTACTTATCCTAAGTGATTAAATGTTTTCTCATTAAGACTTACTCAAAATATTTCCCCTACTAAAAGAACTGTAGCAATAGGAATGATGTTCTTCCTTCCCCAGCGTTAGGGCAGGATCCTATGAAAACCTGCACTGTGACAAAGCAGGATAGGTTTTTTTGGTTGGTTGGTTTTTCTTTGTTTGTTTTTAAACAAATGGTGTTAAGACTGCCATTAGAGAACACAAAAGGCAAAACACAATCTGGTACATGTCCACATTTAAAGGTGACTGTGCATATACACACAGAGAGGGTTTTTTTCCCCCACATATTACTGGAAATAAAAAGACCAAAGCAACATTTTTTGAAACTTCAAAAGTTTGAATTGATATCAAAGGTCTGCAAAACTGGAGTAAAGCACTCAATGAATAGTTTTCAGGAGATCCTGAAAAAACAGAAGAGTTGAAGATGGAGAGAAAATTATCTTCAACTGTTTGGATCCCACTGGTTTCCTCCAAGTCAGTTATTTTATCTTGTATCATTTACCAAGGCCTTACTGTGAAAGCTACTTGCAAGTCTTGGCCGCAAACTGCCACATGAATAGGTCTGGCAGGAAATCCGTGTTTAAGACTAAAATAATACACCAACTATATCTTCAGACAGGAAAGACTTCCTGTACTCCTGGGTTAATCATAAAATTGTAGAATTAGAATACTTGGAGAAAAAGAAGGGTGTGGTCAACCTGCTAATAACACAATGTATATACTTCCCATGCATTTACGACTACTATACCCACCCAAGAAAGAGCAAAATGGTGTTCAGATGACAAAATACTTCAGCTTTCTGTAACAGAACCGCTGAGCTCTAAAGTCTCTTTTGTCTGAAGCAGCATCATATTTCTCAAAATAAAGTTTTTCAAATTTGCTTAATTAAAAGCACGTCAGAGAGAGAGCAATCTTAGCTCACCACTCAAGCTAGCAGCACACTCCAGGGCAGAAAAAGAGATATCGAACAAGTAACGCAGGAAGGGAGGAGAGCCCTGTTCGGACAGAACGTTGCGGGAGACGTACACCATGCTTGGTGATGAACACTAACGCTTAGAGCAGGTTTTTGGTCTAGAAAGAAATCGCAAAGGTACATTAACAGAACATGACCTTTTAAGATAAGCACCAAAAGTGTAAAACCCTAAACTAACTTGTTCTTGAGCCTAGAAGTGAATTATAGGGACCGCTTTCTCTTTAGGAGTCGTCACCAAGTTAGACACAATTTTCAGAGGAATTGTCGGAACGTATTGTAGAAGAGATTTATCTAGATTTATTATAATCAGGATGTGTTGAGTTAAGGTCATACATTACTGCAAGGAAAAGGGAAGCATGGAGCAAGCGGTGCCCACTCCTTAAGGAGCGGCTATACATGCTTGGGATGACTACAAAAAGCAGAGCTACCAGCATACAAGACTAAAAAACCTCAACTTCCCCTGTTGATGCATCTGCAGGTTTGAAGAGTGCAGCTCAATTTTCTGCAGTTTAGACTTTCTTCTTCACCTCATACATGAACAAGATAGTGACAAACCAGATACAATGCAAAATGATGGAAAGAAAATGTGCCACAAAGAAGGATGAATGTATGTTGTAGCGACTTTCCAGAAACAGGAAGGAAAGAAGAAGAAAACAAATAGCTATAGAGTCCTAAAGTCACTCAAAACCTACTGAACTGCTTGCATTTTTGAGGACAGAATAGTAAAGGGTATGATGTGGAAGAAAGCAAAGAGCAGAACATTAGCAAACTTAACCTTTATACATCTACCAGTTTCCTCCATAATGGTCTGCTGTATGGAGATGATAATATCAAGATAGCGTCTGAAGTAATAAAGCAGGACGTTCAAGATTACCTGTATTTAATTATTAAATGTAGTTTAGTACTAGAGACTGTTATATAATGTCAACATACCAAATATGGAGGCTCATTCATTCCAAGCGGTTCCTGCAATAATAAATACATAAACACATTCATATGAATACATAAAATTAATTACAAATGAATACATAAAATTAATTACAATTAATTTCCTAGAAGACACGTCAAGTTCCTGAAATTTGTTAATTATGAACTCAAGAGCAGAGAAAAACACACTTCCCGGGCTCTTGACGCAATTCTCTACCCCAGCCTCTGCCACCAGCTGCCTGTAAGCTCACAACTGCCCGCCTGACCGTTCAGTGCCTTTCACCTAGAGAACTTGCATCAGCATTAATTAGTTCACATAATGTGGATTAGAGTCCATGTAAACATCTCTGCATTTATTTTTGAGACTATTTCTTGAAAAAAAGAATTAAAACCAACAGAAGACTGTGACGCCTTTTTCAACACATGCTCTTCAAAATAAGGTTAAACGTTCCTTTCCTATTTTCAGTGCAGTAGTATCATTTATTATACATTTATTACTGTGTATTGTCTTTGTTTTGCATTAGAGTTTTGATAGTCCTGGCACTATTTGGGCAAGTTGTACTACCTTGGATTTAATAATGGACTAAAAAATATTTCCTGTCTTTATTCACTACATTTATTATAAATATTTTAGCACAAACATAAGGAAAGAAAAAAAATCAGACCTCTATTACACAACAACAATATGGGCCAGATAAATTCTCAAGTATTTTTATATCCATTACCAATTAGGCATTATAAGTTACTATGTTTTAAAGCAAATTAATCCTTCCAGGCCAGGTTATTCTTTCCATGAATGCAGCCTGCCAAAGGGAAGTTCTTCTTATGAAGTTTCCCTGACAATTTTCTCAACAGGTGGAAAGATCTAGAGTGTCCATTTCAGTCGACGTTACAAACAGACTCATTATGTCTTTCACAAAGGTCTTTAAATTGTGTCCAAGTAAATAAACAAATTGATTAAGCAGCACAGCCCACATTATAACTTTATTGTATGCTCTGAACTCCAAAGGTCTCGTTTCTTTTAAGTTCTCCCCTTAACAAGTTCTGGTAACTCACCAACTTAATAGGTCGTATTGACATGATGATTTTACTAGATCCTCCCCAGTCAAAGAAACATTTATATTTTCCTTTCTCCAATACATATTGTTCTCCACAGAAATGTTTCTGCTGATACGCGACCCACCTGGAGAATGACACAAAAACTAAACTGAAAACATCACATTTTTCTGTGTAGTTTGATGAAAATACTACTGAGATAAATAGAACAATTTTATTTGGAGTTTTCTTGGTAAGTCCATCTGACAGACAGTGCAACATTAAACCCCAGGAGAGGTGCATAATTGTCACACACTTAATTTTATGCTTTTACTTTGCAAATACAACTTTGATAAACACACAGCTTTGGGTGTCTGCCTTTCTATCAAATATACATTCAGCAAAAAAAATGCCTTGCTTAGAAGCCCAGAGAAAAGACGCTTAATTGACAAATTTTTTGAATCTCTGCTGAATCTTTACCTGTTCAGCATCCTCCCAGACAGGGCTTTCTTCCAACTTTTCCAGTTGGATTGAGGAAAATTGGTGCAAGAAGAAAGAGAAGTAAACAAGGAAGCCTTGATAAGATGAGATAAAGCAAAAGCTTGCAATGGCCGGCAGTTCAAGCTTCTCCCACCCTGCTTTCCCTGTTATGATTTAAGAAGAAACCCCCAACTGCATGAGACCGAGGGTCTCTCGTGCCCTGCACACGCTCTTTGGTAGTGGCCAAAGTAGATGGAGGCTAGTTAGAGAGATGCCACGAACTTAGCCACTTTTGGTGGTGCGTTCCTCTCTTAGTCACCCAGCATCCGGGACCTTTATATTAGGGATATTAAAGGGCATCTCCCTTCCTAGTCCTTTTAGCACCCCTTTATGAATCTGTTTGTCATTAATTTGTCTAATGCTTTTTTAAACTTCCTGGTGTTGCCTGCTACCATAGCCTCCTTCAGCAGCAAATTCCAGAAAGTCACCACGTTCGGTGTAAGAAAGGCTTGTTGCTCCCCACCTCTAAATCTGTTTTAAAGCAATCTCCAGCTACTTCTGTAAAGCATCCCCCAATTGTTGTCAAGCAGGATTCTGTGAATGCTGCTACATTAAGCTTGTCTACCACCTTCAGGATTTTGCAGATCTCATTCGCACCTCTTCTCAGCCATCTCTTCTCCAAACTGAGTCCCAGACCTTCATCCTTCTACCTTCTCCTCATGAGATACTAACATTCAGTCTCTACGTGAGCAGTTCAAATCTCCCACTATTGCCACCTGTCCTAAGTTTGAAACTTTTTTAGTCTCATTTAACAGTTGCTGATCCCTATCACCATCAGGGTAGGTATGACAATGTTCATACTGCACTTTTAAAATTACTATTAAAGTCTGGAATTTCCAACCACTTGATTCCATAGTGCTCTTTTCCCATAACATATTTTATGTTTCAGCATTTGATATCATTCTTCATGTACAGTACCACTCCCTTGCCTATCATAGCCTACTTTATCATTCCAGTAGAGTTGGTAGCTCCTCTGCTTAACCTTCCTGTGAATCTCTGCAGTATCTGCTGTATCAGAGCTATTATTTCACGCCAAGCATTCTAGTTGCCTCATATTATTTTTAAGGCTTCTAGCACTTCTAAGTTTTGTCCTTGCTCCATCAGTTAATACTGCATATCTCCGTCAGACGTTACAGGTGGTCTAATTTACCTTCCTTATTTATTGCAATTGTGCTGTTTATTTTCCTCCTGGACTTCACATAGACACTAAAAGTTAGCCAAGTCCACCCTGTAGGCTGTATCAGCTTGAACCAGGTACTCTTCCACAGCTGTTGATTTAACCCTCTGCTTTTAGTTTAAATAGTTCTCTAAAAAGTATTTTAATTTTCAGTGCCAGCAGCCTGACTTTATTACGATTAAGGCATAGGTCATCCTTTCTGTACAGGCTCCACCTGTCCCAAAAGGTATTCCAGTCCTTAACATACCTAAAATCCCTCTTCTGTATTACTGTTAAAGCTCCTGTATCATGAAACTACAGTCTGTGTGACCTCTGGAGGGACACCACAAGCTTTCTCTAGTAACAAGAATGCCTAGGTCCAAATCAAGCTGTAGGCATGAGATTGAGAGAAAACTAAGACTTTTTTTCTCTTCCATTTACCAAGGAAACTGAAAGAAACATTGTTCTCCCCCAAATGTTTACCACCTGTACCACCTGAGATATATTCTGTCAAAAGATGTATGCAAACACAACATCGCACAAAAATACTTAATACTTCCATCCGCGTATTTCAGTAGACTTACACTCCACTTCTCACAAGAATCGACCTTGTCTCTGGGCCAAATCCAGCCTGCTCCAAATCAGGGACTTCTTCATTGACGATGTCTAATGCTTTCCCATCTTCATCATCAGACTGAAAAAGTGCCACTGATGACTCTATAAAATCCTAAGAGGCAGCACAGGAGTTAGAAGACAGGCTGTCATAGCTCAGTGACACTTCACAACATAAAACATTTTGGAAAAGAGTTGTAGCCTGAAAGACAGCGTTTTATAAAGCAGCGAAGGGACTTAGGTCCCTTGTGTGGATCTTTATGGGATGTTTTGGCATTGAAGTCCCTAGCTGGAAGCCTGGCAATCTGACACAGCCTTCAGTTTTTTCCACTGAAGAAAGGAAGAACCTGCTGCCCTCGAGCACCATCCTTTCCTCTATGAGACTGACTAAGAGTGCAAAGATGCCTGCGTGGGAAAGAGAAGGGTTGGGAATTTAGCACTGATCTTCCAACAGCTTCACAAATGACCAAGTATTACCATGACTATAGCCTTTCACTTCAAGTTTTCCTTCTTCACCCCTTTCCAGCAACAAGGCAACAATCACGGAAAGGAAAAGACTAAGCAAGATCACCTTTCCAGCACAATGGGTTTGTAGTTTTTGGATACATCCATTGTATGACTAACCACTATAGCTATAAAATAAATCCCGCATGACACTGTCGTGTTCTCTCTTATATAGCCTGTGACATTGCTTTATGTTTTCAGCTAGCATAGTTGCTTGACGAGATTACTTGCACAGCTTCAGATTATTTGAATTTGGGTTTCAAATCTCCAACTCTTTAACCACTTAGTAATTTTAAGCTAAGTTCCATCACTGCCTGGGAAAATGGAAAACAACAATCCATTCACTTTACTCCTTTAACTTTTAACAAAAAGCATGAACTCCATTCAATTTCAGGAATATTATAATAAGTTGAAAATAGGTCAGTCTTGCAAACAAGAGAAAAGGCTATCAAGCAACTACAGGAGTCGAATCACAAACGTCTGAGGACACTGTCACAGGAATTATTACACTAAACACTTCCTGCTGTAGCACTTACAAGCTGCCAATCCAAGAGCAGTGTGCTGAAGGCTACAGTGAGAAAACAAAGACTTACAACAATCAAAAAACACTTAGAAATTAAGGTCAGGCCAAGCATGCAGCCAGATTCATTTGGTCAGGTGAATCTGATCAAACAGGCTCTGTAGAGGACACCATGCCTTTGTACAAGATTCAAATCACAATGAATAATGAAAACCAATTTTAGAATGAACACATGATGTGGCTCGATCTCTCTGCATTGTTTACAGGACACTAAAAAGTGATGGAACGAATTCTGTAGTAAAACTGGTTTTCCTACTATGTTGACCATACCCTTCTTTCATTTATTTCAAAAGTTGCAACTGCCTCAGGTATACGCTAGAAATTAAAGTGCCAGGTCTGGCAAAATCATCATGAATAACTGCAGCTTCCGACTACTTTTTAGAAAAACAAACAAACAACAAAACAATGCCGTTTTAGCACAAATGAAAAACAGCTACTCTTAACAGTCCTAAAGCAAGGACTTTGTAAGAGTTCCTGAAAAGCTATTTAGATCAAATCTGCATATAATTTGACTGAATTTAAAATACTGAAACATATCCACAATTGTAATTACTTTAAAATATGTTTCAAATTCAGCCATCACTTTTTCCTTCCTACATTTTCACTACAGCTTTTCTTACAATAAGCAATAGGAGAAATACTTTAAAAAATCCTGGACTTTCAGATCAAGGCAAATCATTTTAGACTTGAAAACATTAGTGGGAAAGCACCAAAGGCAACATACTCTGCTCCACTGAAAGAGACTTAGAAACTCTGCTCTTTCCCAGATCATGACAGCAACAAGCAAACCTCAGCTTTGCAGATTCTCTCATCTGACACTGCAGAAAAGAAGCAAATACAACTGTCCCCCAAACCAGCACACAGTACAAACTGCTGTCTGCCCTCAGGAACAAGCTCTGTATTTGACTCCAGTGTGTCCAATATAGATGCTGGTAACAGAGCTGGCAGTATGCTGGAAAAAAACAATTCTACAACTCCTTTCTATCTCTGCTTTCAAAACACTCCCCAAATCCTCACATTAGAACTTGTGATGGTTCACAGCAGAAATATTGAAGCTGGACAATACCGGAAAGCTCTTGCAGTGTGCCTACATGCGTGTACATCTTCATTAGTGGGTGGGGAGGGGTGACTTGCAACAATCCCTCTTTTGTGTGCAATGTCTAACCTTTCTGATTTGTCAGGAAATTAAATTCATGCCTCAGCTTAACTGCAGTCACCGGTATGTGTACGGGTTGGATTTTCCTAGCGCTACTAAGCTCCAGTGGAACCCGTCATGTTGAGCGTCATGGTGCAGGAAGATCTGAATAGCTTTGCATAGCACTAAGCATTGCACGTTGACAGAGCTGGTACTGACACAGGCTAACGAGGCACGTCGTACCCAGCCCGGCTCTCTGCAGAGCCATTTACGTGCTTCTGTACCATGCTCCCTGCTTCGGAACGGCACATACACATTTGATCCGACTCTGCCTGGAGCTGACTTGGGTACACAGGGCTCGTTAGCTTCAGCTTCATGCGGTGTCAGCCAGGCTAAATTGTTTTCAGGTCTGGGCTGGCCTTAAAGCCAACATAGTCAAGGTCAACTGGTGTCAGCCCTGAGCAAAAAAAGAAGTCTAGCTGGATTGGCCCCTACATGAGACCACACCGGTGAGTACATATAAAGAGCAGGGTCAATGTCCACTCCCTACCTAAGCTGACCACGAGTAATACAACTTGGCTTACATTTCACAAAATCCATAATCTTCTGCAGAGACTCTTGAATTCATCTGACTAAAATAGAATTCCTAGGGAAAAGCAATAAAGATCTGATATCCAGGAACACTCCCGCGAAGTCCAAGACCATCATAGCCTTTCCCACACTTCTGACAGCATTTCTGAGATTACAGAGAAGAGCTAGTACGTTTGCTGTGCAGCGAGGGGCCTTAAGCACACAGAATCAGTTTTGGGTTTTTGCCCAGGTCCCCTTGAAAACAAGGATTCGGTACTAAAATGTTTTTAAAATCCTGACCTTAAGTATCATACACAAAGTCACTGAGGGAGCATATGGCAAGCCCAAACATTGACCTATGTATTGCACATCAGAGAGAGGCGGTCAATCTGTTGGTCAAGCCGAACAACAAAATGCCAGTGCCATTAGTCATTTTATTGGGAGCCAGTTCCTTGCCTTTAATTATGCCACAATTTGAGGAAAAGTATTACTTACACTTTTATTATCAATATGTACATATTGATATATATTTATATGGCAATTTGAATGATATCTGTTTATATAGGAGTGCACATGGTACATGTTTTTAAAATGTTAATGATCTGAGCATCCTGACTGTTCTAGGCATGAGTCAAATTAAATACATCCACATCCACGGAAGGTCATCCCTGCTAGGCACATGCCCAATTTTAAACTTGTAATTATGTCCTTTGCCAAGAAGATGATCTAAAAAGATCAACTGAGGTTACTTAAGTATCCTACGTATACCTTGAAAAGATAGAAAAACTAAGATTAGTCAAGAATTGAACAGGATTCTACACATTCAAAATGAGGCGTTAGAAGAAAACTCCTGCCTGTTTCTCAGAAACTTGAAAATAAATTATTTAGAGAGGACATTTTTCTTCAATTCAGTTTATTCTCCCATCTTTATTTTAAGTTACATGATAGATTCTGATTATTAACATAGCTTTTCCTAGGTGCCTTTTTTTTTTTTTTTTTTTTAAAAAGTAATGACTGCTGAGACAATGAGTTTGCTCCAAATGCCTCTGTTCAAACCTCACAAAATTCCTGGCTCAGGAGTATCACATCTCAGATGAGGACGTGAGTAATCTGAATATAGAAGACTTGAGTAATCTCAGACTGAACAACTCAATTCTCAAAAGGAGCCACTCTTTGCAGCTGTATTTAAAGCTCACAGAGTTCCTATTACACTAAAAAAAACAATCCTCAAACCCCAAAACAAACAAAAAAACCCCAAACCAAAGGAAATTATAAAGAAACTCTAATCCCATGTTTACCCATCACTGAAAAGTCTAACTTTGCTACCAGTACTGGACTCTGATATAGTTGTTATTATTTCATCTTTCCCTCCACTAAACACATTTTATTAGCAGGGATTTTTTTTCACCATGATTATTTCTGCTGCCAAAATTTTCTGGCACAAAAATTACAGGGACAGAGCGTAATACTGTTTTAAGGCTTGCAACAGCTGCTGTGGTGAAAAGCTCTTTTTATTTTAATAAAGAACTACGCTGTACACTTACGCATGTTAAACTTTTAAGAAAATTCTGTTCTAGAGATTCAAATAGCTTGAAGTGCAGAAGGGAGATACTTGGAAAATCTGGCAGGTAGACAGGGAATTCTGCATGATACATTCTTTGTATGAACTTTACAAAGGTTATTTGGGACTTGCTTCTGCTTTACAATGTATGCAGTGCAGTCTAAATTTCAGCAAGTAGGAAAAGAATGAGAACGAACTTGGGCAAAAGATGGAATGACTAGACCCAAGACAGCTGTACCATATACAAAGAATAACCTTCCTCTTTATGTATAGATAGAACTGTGCATAATTTGTGTGAAATTCATAAACGTACTTACAGCCTGAAGGAAACGGAAAGACAGGAGGACACTGTCGGTTCCCCCCCATGAGTGTCTGTCTTCATAATCTCCCTCCTCCAGCAAGTACTGACGGCCTTTGTAGCATTCCTTATCACAGGCAACCCATCTACAGCAGCCACACAACAAAAGAAAGAGAAATAACTAAAAGCAAAACAACTGCACACATGATTTTCCCTAACAAATAAAAGGGGAAGAGAACATCCTAAGAACACTAGAACAAGTATCAGAGAGTCAGCTAACAAACAAAGCAATGCTTGTCTGAAATCACAACAGGCACCCATGAAGTGTTCTTTGTGGATCAAAATCCCACCATGTGATTCTTTCTCCAACAACAGTTTCTGTGTGTACCGCTTCTCCATATACCTCCTCTCAGTCAGCCATGTTCCAATACCAACATTCAGTACTACACAGGCTAGTTTGCATCTAGTGGCCAAAACACCGTAAGCCATCAATTGTCGATGATAAAGAAAACAAGCAGGAGATCTCTTCAGTGTCTTAATGAACGATGAGATTCTACCCTTGTTGGAGCTGGTGACAAAATTAATGGATTTCAACAGAACAAAATTCCACCCACTTATACCGTTTCCTGCTCTACTCTAAAAACATATATATACGAATAGACAAGTGAATTGAATATATGTAATATATTGCATATGGAACATGTTTTAGCACTAAGGGAATAAAACTTTTTAAAGTATTTGGAACAAGCAGATAAGGCTGGATTAAAAGAAGGCATTTCCACGTCAATTTTGAAAGCCCTAATGGATCTTAATTTGAAAGAGTGCTTCATCCTCCTTCTTTCTTGTAAGCACTTCTTTCCTTAAAGCTCCCTTGTAAGTATTAGAACTGCTGGCATTGAAATTTGGCAGGCAGGCAAATTTCAGTACCATTTGGTTTATATTAATTCCGCTGTTTAAGTTACCACAGTACTAAAAATAAAAGCTGCCACAACAGACAGAAGGATGCTTTTTAATAATTTGAGGCTTCTCAGATAGCAAATGCATAATGTATTTCTGAACGGATTATTTGAGTATTCACAATTAAGTTTATTTTGAATTCAGTGCTTGTAAGATTCTGACAACAGTCTGAAAGGATCTATGTTATTGAATCTTTATATTGAAGTATTAACATTAAAATCCTGTAAGGAAAAATAAAATTTCTGAACACTACTTTATTGCTAAGTTCTTTGGCAGAAGCAACCATCCTGCATGCTTTCCAACAGTCCTATCCTGTTGGGTCTTGGGAGAGGCTGAAAGAACAACGTGTGGGGTTGGTAGCTCTCTAAAATGGCTGGCATTGAGCCTACTTGGTGAGCAGTCCACCTAAGGACCGGGTTACACAGCCTTTTTTATGCGTGTGTGTGTGTATGACAGAGAGGGGCAGGGCAACATGAAATCAAATCCAAAGCCTTAATGAAGGAAAACAAGGGTAGATCCTTAATTCCAGATAACATGCAACAAGTGGCAAAGGAAAACCATTAAGACAATAAAACAGTTTATAGGTTTCAGAGGCATTAAAATGTCAAATTGAAGACTGATCACACCTACCCGAGGTCATTTCAGTAAATTAAGTAGAAATTATCAGCAGTATAAAGCAATATAAATTAAAGCTCTGTTCCTTAATGACAGCATTCACACAAAGTGGCCTAATTTATGGGCATCCGAATGGTAAACACTGACTTCACACCTTTCACACACTTAAGTTTTATCTTCCTATATTCCCTTAGATAGATAGGCCATGTGGAGAGGTGGTTTTATCCAAGGCTGATAATTGGCAAAAGAAATACATATTCCTTTCTTTTCAAGATATTTTACCAGTGAGAAATTCTGATCACCCCTTAAGTTAGCACTTCTTAGCATTTAGTTAAGTTTTCCTATTTAAAGTAAATATATATAAAAGCGACATATACTCACACTCCACCAATTACACGTATTGATCCAATTTCCTGAAACTCCTCTTCACTATCAAACAGAGCTCGGACAGAAGTGATGTTTTCTGAAAACTCTTTGGACCATCCTCCAAAGTGGGTTTTCTCATATATTATTATCTAGAAAACATGATGTTGAACAATGCTTTGAGTATGACCTGAATAGTAATTTGAAGTTTGGGTGTGCGTACTGCTACAGTATGTGGAAGAGATCTTTTTTCCCCCCTTTCAACAAGCCATCACTATGAAGAAAATTCAGGGTTACATTCCTCAGCCCTTCCGATTCTTGAGTGCCCTAGAGGCTGAAGAGACCCTATTTGGATTTAGATAGGCTTGTCAGGCTATTTGCAGACACTTCCACACAATTCTATATACATAAATGCACTCTGCAGCTATATGACTCTGATTTATCCTGTAATCCTGTGCCTGAGCAGTGTGTGTTAGCCTGCAATGAATCCTACCTGGTCACAGCTAGACACACTGAGCTTAATCCTTCAAAAGTAGACAAGAGGTCTTTCTCTGTACTTTGCTGAAGTTATTTCAGTGACTGCAGTTAACACGCCTTTGAGGTTCCTCATCTGCTGAATCAGACAGATCAGCTATTAATAGATTAATATTTATTGCAATATTCATTAGGAAAAAAGCCTGAGTCTCACATGTATTTGTATAATTAAAAGTTACCTGAAGTGTTAGCATTTTTGTGAAGAATTAGAGAAGGAGGGAAAAAAGGAGCAATAATTCTGGATTAGCTTTCTGCTCCTCAAATCACAGAAGGGTCATGGTGTCACTCATGACTCTTGTACTGGGATCAGGTTTAAGAAGGAAGGGTCTTATTCCTGCCCTCTTCCTCTCCTTCCCCCCTTCCTTTTTTTTCTTTTAAACTTGGTATGTTAAATGGGAAAAATCTCTCCTGATCCCTTTCCATTACAGTGACTGATGTGTCAGTCAGGAAAAATGATTTTATTTTTTAAAGCCTTTACAATTCTTCTATAGCAAATTCATGTTTTCCTAATCTGTAAAAAACAAACTACTACTACATTTACATCTTATGAAACACTAGTAAGAAAGTGGACTTGACAGCATTAGTAAATTCTTCTTCGGCAGCAAACACTGAACATTTAATCAAACATCACATACTCAACAAAAAGCAAACAGCTTAAATAAAGGTTTTATATTTCTAGTGTGCTTATATTCTACTCTTAATGTCCTCAGTGCTTACCTTGACATTCATTGGCATTTGTACCTTTAGTCCACCCTAAAAAAAAATGGAGGAAAAAAAACACAGGTGTTTATATAAAACTTGAAGTTATGCTTTGACACGTACTTAAGAGTACCATCAGAGTATGAAGTCTTTGTAACTATATTCACCATTTTCAGCGTTGGCTAAATCAAACACTAGTTTAAATACTCTGATAATTCATAACGGCCAGGGACACTATAAGCCTGACCTACAAACAAATCAGTGTGTTGACAAGCCTGTAGGAATGTAACCAATTTACAAATATTCCTTCACTGTCTATTAGCAATCTAAAGCAAGTATTTACTATGTGTTTTTAAACTAATTTATATCGACCAATTTTGAAAATTAAGTTTTAAAGCTTTGTTGTCTATATTTCAAGTTTCTTAAGCACAAGTGGTAGAACATTAAGAAATTATAAACACCAGAAGAGAGAGAAAATATAGCCTGACATATTACTGCCTATGGTTAAAGAGCAAACACAACAAATGCATTTTCTCTGGAAATGTTAGTGAATGGTGTTCTGTGAGGGAATAAGACACCCACCTCCCATGAGCTACTAAAAAAAAAAAAAAAAGCTGTTAGGTCTTATTCCTTTGTAGAACCATGTGTTATACTCTTCCACATCTCTTTCATATTTAGATCTACATGCTGTCTATCAAAACAAAAATTAGCTGCACCTCCCAAGATATTTGTGCAACATGCAGTCACAGGAATACTACTGGGTAATAAACTCCTTATCTGGTCTTCCATCCCTTGTTGACTCTAGCTGTACCATTAAAAAAAACCAAATGAAAATCAACAACTTCTGAAGAGTTTTTTAGTTAACGAATTGGTGTTGGCTGCAACACAATTAAGAGCCTTTCAGTTCTGTCTTATTTGACCTCCACTCAACAACAGCAGTTTCCCAGGAAGATATCCCAGTGAATCCGGTGCTCCCTCTGACTACATGGTCTTACTTGGGCAGACGCAGAAGCCCAGCAAGCCACGGCAACTGCTGTGTCATTAGAACACTGCAAATGCACCGTGGTGTGAGATGAGTGTTACATGTACAAGGATTAACCCTGAAAGGATGATTAGAACCTAAGTTATATTTAGGTCAAAACCTCGGGGGCAGGGGGGCAACAATAGGAAAAGGAAGGCACAGAACTTATTACGGAATTGTGAAGTCCTCACCATTTTTAAGGGACGCAGAGATTTTACATCTGCTGAAGGAATTTCAGATGGTGAATCGCATTCTTCCAAAACCTTCATCTCTCCCTTGTAATTAAAGTCTGAATAAGCAAGCCATCTGTAACAATAAGGATAAAGGACTTATTGATCTCATTAGATAGGTTACAAATACAAAGATCTTATTAAAATTATTTTCCTTTTTGTACTCATAAGAGCTAGATAATGCGTTTTAGATACTGCCAGCACATCAAAACGAAGCCATATTTAATCACACTGGTAACATCAATGGTAAGATGATCTCAGATATGTTTAGCTTGGACTGAGAAAAAGTAAGTGAAAGAGAAGAAAATTACCAATTTGTTCACTCATTTTAAAGCAGCCAGTTTGTTTCAATATGAGCACACAAAACCAGTGTTAATACTCAGGATGAGACATTTGCATCAAATTTTACCTAGGATTGTCACCTTAGGAATTAAAAGGCTTCTAACATCAATCCCACTTCATTTTTTCAGTGGAAGTTATTAACACATGACGATTTATAACATTCCTTTGGAAAGCAGGCTATCGTAATTTTGACATGAAGATTTAAAATGCTGAGAATCCCTCAAGACTCTTTTAAATCAAAAAGAAAGCTGAATGTAGAAGTTGGACATAGGGTTAGCAGATCAAATAAGGAATGGAGGAAGAGGCATTGAGCCGTATGGAAAATGATTTTCTTAAAACTACACACACAGACCACAAGCAGTTGAAAGTCATACTAAGTTCTATCAAAACTAAGACAAGACTCATGCTTTTAATTCCTTCACCATCTCAAGCTTCACAGACATATTGCGAGATTGTGGGCAGGAAGGTTTGGCTCGCACAGAAAAGCAAACTCAAGACTCTTGTAACAGAATAGCTAATGTCATTCTGCAACCATTTATAACGAGAGGCACAGAACTCCCAAACTTCAGGAAGTGTGAAGTGTTGGTCATTTAACCAGGAAACAGACTATTCTGCTCAATAAAGAAAATGTTGGGCTACCAGGGGGCTTGTATCATATTGTATCACCTCTCTCCAGGAAGTCAGGATATGGCTGTAGCTTGAGAAATACTTGGATGATGTAATACTCATTTTCTGGTATTCAGCCATGGTGTTATAACAGGGTGGGTGAATAGGGAGACAGTATCTATTCTCCAATGAAGTAAAAGCTAATTATAGCTGAGCTGTTGCTTCTATTTATAAAGCTACTCAAAGATGGAATTATAGAAGACTTCTGCCAGCAACTAGAGGAAAAATGGCTTCAAAAATTTGGTTCCACTACTAGGACCATGTATAGCACAATGCCGAAGTGTAGAGCTGGGAATATCTAGCGTATGTTAGCAGATTCGTAGCAAAACCCTCCAAATATTGTTCCTGTCGCTGACCAACTTTCATCCCATAATGTTACCCCTCTACCTGCTGGCAAAATTCTATTAAAAAGGTTCGGTACTCACACTCCTGATTTGACTCTTATATAAGGATTTTTCTCAACATCCAGTTCTTCTAAATTGGCAACTGCACTCTGTATGCAGATAGGAAGTCCCTCTGTACTACCAGCTGCCGGGCAGAACTCTACCTCTGGAACGCCGCAGTCCTGTGAAAACAAATCAAAGGGTAAGGCTTATCCACACTTGCAGAGTCTACCCCATCACAGCAGGGGAAGGACCGTTTCACTTTTTTTTTTTTTCCCCCCCTGTCTTCTCACCCTTCTAACCCAACTCCAGGCTTCATATGATGGAAGGGGTTTAGGTTTGGTTTTTTTTAAATGAAGCCTGGAATTTTTAGAAAAGCTAAGGGAAGTAAATTTCCAGTTCCCACTAACTTTCAAAGAAGAACTATGCATTTATGCCTGTTGGGCTACTTTCAAAAAGCTCAGTTTAACTACTTTCCAAGTAAAGAATCTGACAGTATTTACTGACAGACAAACCACGTACAGAATACTGCTGACTTTTTTTTTTTAAAGACAGTGATTCCATAACACACATATAGATACATCTGTTGCACACATAACCAAAACTTTCTAGAAATGTCTACTACATTCCCACCTCCCTCCCTCAGTGATAATTAGGTTCTGTAATGCACCTGACTACAGTTCAATTTTCTGTCACGCTAAATAAGTCTACAGCATTCTAGGCACAGAAAGAAAAAGATCAGTACTAGAAAATGTTTGTTCTGTTAAGTAGACACTTCAGCAATTTTCCTGTTACTACAGAGCAACAACCTCTGTTACCTTACTGAAGGTTTTCTACTGATAGATACCGCTGGAGAACAACTTGTTGAACACGTGATCTTCTCTAGAATTTGCAGGGATTTTATTGAATCACACTCATAACAGTTATATAAAAAGCATTGCCAATACTTTCTTCCCCAGCATTCAAACACATAACGAATCAATGAGGATCTTCTATCAGGCCCTGCTTCAGCAACACGTTACAGAACAGTCGTCCCGTTACAGTGAGGGGCGGCTCACGTGCTTACAGAGTTTGCTCAGCTGTAGCTGGAAACCTTCAGTTCTCAGTGATAACTTCAGAGCATCCTTCTCCTTCTCCTCCTGACCCATGGGCCCATTAGCATTAGGCCAAAGGGCTTGGACAGCATAAAGAGACCCCAAAAGTAGTCCTAAACATGGCTGGAGGAAGATAGCCCTTGCATGTGTACAAGAGAAGAGGGATGAGAAGCTGTCACTGAGGGTGCCCTCAGAGAAGCACGTGGTTACTGGGTTTGTCGAGGACCCAGGCAGGATCACATCATGACAGAGATCCCACACGACCTGCGGCTTCTGCCAGACCCAAAAGGCGAAACACAAGAGCTTGCACAGAAACTCAGCAACCTGGCACAAAAGCTCCTAAGTTTATGGCACCCCATCTCATGACACCACTTGCGTGCTCTCCTTTTTCACACAGGTTTTGAAGTGCAGCTCCCAAACGCTGGAGTAACATCCCACCCAGAAACACACCTCTGCTTCGTTAGCAAAGCTCCTTCAGTAGTTAACTGTCAGCAATAAACGTGGCAATTATAATAGATGGACTTCAGGATATTATTTCACTTTCCTCATGAGACCTGTATACTGTTTTGGCAACTGTCCCTCATGCACAATCGTGTTTCCTCTGTATTGTACCTTGCAAACAATGCACACTATTTGTTTTTAGAACAAAACCTGCAATGCCAGAATTTTTATTTTCAGATGACTGAAACCAAAAAAACTAGGAAAAAAAGACTTTCTAGTATGATGCTACTTTATGGCAAAGCACTAAGGAACACCATTCCTCAATTCTAAGTATATTGCTGGACAAGTTTTAAAAAAACAATTAAAAAATCTCCTCATAGTTTTCACATGTATCTTATTAAATCACAGTTAAGAAATATTTGAAGTTCGTGTTTTTTTTCTAATAATACCTGATAAGGCTGAAATCTGTGAATCCAACAATAAAGCTTGATATGGAAAATCAGAAGTTGCAGCTATAGGGATTCCACAAATAATGTGGCTAGACTCCTAATGGTTTCAGATAAATTCTGAAACAAAGTACCTACAAGACTAGACAAGTGGCAAAATAAAGTATCTTTGCCTGCGGGCTCAGACAGAATATGAGACGGAGCATGTTTAATTTTAATTCAGTTTTTTGTTTTCCTTTTTTTTTTCCTTCCCCCCTTCATTTGAAGATTGGAAAAAGCCAGTCTGTATTCTCTTTTCAAGTCTGCTCTCCTGACTCTGAAGCTCACGAGGCAGGCTCCACCTCAAGAGATGAAAAACGTAGCAGTTCTCCAAAGAGCAAGTAAAGCACAAGCACTCATAATAAAATCTCTCATATTTATCACCATCTCTCTCCAGGTAGATTTTGACAGTCATAAAAAAACTCCACTCATTGTGATGGTGTTTTTGTGTATACTAGATTAAGTCCACAAAGTCATCATAAAGTGTCACATAGTAAACTGAGGTCTTCATCAAAAGCAATTCAAGTATCTATTTTTAAAGGTAATAACATGTTTGAGCAAGAAGTATATTATATTTTCTAAGCACTTTTTTTAAAGTCACAAATATACATTTTGTTTTAAATATTGAATTCAATTTACATATACTAATTCACAGACTGCAGAAAATGCTAAAATTTAAGTATTACTGTATAAGGTGAACACTATGTATTTGCAGATGTACACTCAAGTACTATGCCACTAATTTATACAATTTAAGCATGTAAACTTTAGCTTGGTAAATATTTGCCCTAGCACGTTCATATATGCCTGAGCATATTTAATAGACATCGTTACTTTCAGAGGCTTCTTTAACATTCCTAATAAAGGCACCATCTTTAGAAACAAAATGAAAACCACACAAATATGATAGCGTTCAGGTTGAGAACTAGATCCTTCAATCCAAAGCCCTGTCATTTGCAAGGCGTCAAGATTCTGAAATAAGATACCCACATGTAAAACTATTACCATGCAAAATAATTACCACAGCGTTTCAAGGTCAGATCCAAAACTGGAAAGTTTTCTCCCTATACCCTCCCGGCCCTGCCACCCCCATCACAGGCAGTCAAAACTCATGTCATGTTCATTATCCTACTGACATGTCAGGCAAAACCAGAATAAAAAGTACAGCAAACAGATTAGGTAGCTGCGTTCTTTTCCAACGATAATACACAACCAGCAAATGCTTAGGTAGGTCACAGCTTCCAGGCATCCTGCACTGTCTTCCTCTACTTTGCGGTACTCTCCTCCGACATCCACACAGTCATCCTGGAGTGCCCAGGCTTCCCTCACGGTCTTTTGGGAGCAGAGATGTTTACAAAAGCACGGGGAATACTCATGCTAGCTTGCAGAGAACAGATACTTCCAAAACAGTAACATGGCCCTCAGCAGAAAGGTTGAAGCTTCTTCTGAAGAGGGTTAAAGATGACCCTCAAGACCTTAGCATGAAATATTACTCTTTGGTGGCATCTCTGATGTTTTTCTAGCTGGATAAAGAGCTTCACCAGAAGTGAGAGACCAAGAGCCCTCAAGGTGGTCTTGGCTGTTTGCCTTTCTTCCAAATCTAAAGGTACAGCCCTAACAGCACTAGCAGGGCTAAATAATTTCAGTGTTAGGGGCTTCTCCTTGGACCTGTAAACTGTGGTGACTGAAGTGATCAAAATAGCCTGTTTAAATGAGGTAGCCTTCTATGTCAACAACGGGACAAAGAATGACTAAAGTCTGGCTTCTTAAGCTGAATGCCAAAACAACAAGAGAAGAGTCTATTGAAAACCAGGCCTAGTTAGTTCTGGTATTCACATGATTGCTTTTTAATACAGTCTAGACACGCATCTTACTTTTGATACAGTTTGTCCTTAGGACATGCCAGCTTCTGCAGCATTTTTTATTTTAAATCTCACTCTCTGTTGGTCCTCCAGCCTTTTTTACCCATTTATAATTCTTTCTCCCAGTTCTCCTGCTCTGTACCATTCTTGCTACCCCCCATCACCACCAAACCAAACTACAGAACTCAACAGGGCTAGTAATAAAATAAAATAATATGAAGGAAATTCATGATTACTATCTTGTAAATACCAACAACCAAATGAGACAATCTGGAGCTGCTGGGTGTTTTCCTATGGCATCTGACAAAGTAGTCCCTGCTTGAATTAATAACTTCTTTTCACTTAGCAAACCACACAAACAAAAGAAACATACCCCTCATGTAATACTGGGAACATTACCAGTACAAAGAGCTTTGCTTAAGAAGAGTCCACAAGGAATCCAGTTATCCCCTGCCTAACCATCTTGTAGACAGCGATTATAAAGTGCTAATTCAGATCTCTTATCACCTTGCAAAATAGCGGTTTACAAGATTACTCCAGAATGGAAACGTCAGCAACTCTTCCCAGCTGTTGTTTTTGGGGAAGTAACATTTAGCATCCTCTTCGGGCTTCCAGAAACAGAAAAAGTCCTCCAATTCCATAAGCTCAATATATGCATTTGCAGTAGACCAGAGAACTGACTTGGCTTAACAGATTGTGCTGCATTGAACCTGTGTGCGCAGGCAGATTTTGCTAGCCTAGGCTCATGTTGACTTGCCTTAGTGGAATTCACACTCCCTATTACCTCAAATAGGTCTTCATTTTATTGGTTGCATGATCTGGTCCTTTGGGATCTCCCCCCCGCCACCCAGGTTCCTTCAAGTTAAACACACATGGATACATCTAATGAGTATCCACAGTAAGTCAAGCCACAAGCTAACCACAAAGCTAACAGAATCTTTGCTTTTTGTGCAGGCTTGAAGCCAAATCAGAGCACAAAGCTACTGGCAGACTGTTTCTCAGCAAAATAACATCTGCCAGTAAAAAACAAAAATAGTATTAAATGTACCTCCCACAGTTTCTTTACTAAACATCTGGTTTTCTCTTCTTGGCAAGTTATTTTCTTCTCAAATATTTAGCCAATTTTCAAATCTGCTAACTCAAGGCATCTGAGCAGCCATTAAACAAGCACCATAAAAAGCCACTTGAAGAATCAGAAAACAAGCCAGACAGGCTGGCCACACAGCCAGTATGACCAAACTGGGCAGGGGAAAAGCCACTGAGCTACCTAGCCTATGAAAAAGAGAATGACAGTAAAACGTGATCCTGCAGATCACATACACACAAGCTGCCTGAAAAAGAAACAGATATTTGTCAATTAAAAACAATGGCTATATATTTTTCACAAAAAAAAAAAAAAAAAAAAAAAGGTAGCACTTCAGCAAACTGCCTTCTAAAAGTAGTTCCACAGCAGCTGAAGTACAACCTAAAAAAGAGGGATGCTTTCACAAATCACGGTTTAGAGGACAAAACTTGGCTTAGCGAGTTCCACACCCACACTAGCTCCATACAGCCCTGTGGACTAACAGCAGAAGTCCTCCCAACCAACCATACCAGTTACATGAGAAACAGTGTTGATTACTGAACTAGTGTCCTGTAACAAAGCTTTCCATCTGCGTTCCATACAAATGAACCACATACTGGAAGAACAACACTCGAACCTACTCGGCTGTATTACAAAGATTTTTATCAAGCATGACGAAGCTAACCACAGTGTCTTTCCTATTCAAGGGTTTTCTTCGATACCCAAGATGCACCCAGCTTCCCTTGGCTTCAGACCATAGTTCTACATGTTATTGTGCTATTTATTTATTTATTTAGCTGCCTTCCACATTATTGATTGATATTCATATTCCATATTGGTCAAATGCTTTTAATTTGCTTAGCTCAAATAAATGTTAATTTCATTATTCATGCCCTCAGCCAGCTTCTTTTCATATTATGTATTTATTGTGACATCTGTAAGAGAATGAAAAAGTATTTCTAATTGTTATGACATTATGCCCCTGTACTGACAACAAAAAGGGTATCAATTTTAAAATGACCTCTATACCAGCAGAGAACAGAGAAACACCACTTTTTCTGAAAAACTTTCACATTGCGATACAAATGATAATTCATTCACAGTAAAGGGCCATTGCCCTGTGAATAACTGGAATGTTATGCTAAACAAGAGCACTAAGTCTTCTTAAATGACAAGATCTGGTAAATATATTCCTCATTCACTGAATAACAATGGATGCGTTATATTTAGTTTTAGGCATTTGATTCCTATCTTTTCAACAAAACGTCTTTTAAACTTCTGGCTGTACGCAGAGCCAGATGCTGTAGGTGTATCACTTGTCCACGTGGAAACCCTACAGATGGCACAAAGCTGTAGAGGGAGGAACAGTAATTTTTGTACAAATGGGATTGGAAACGCAACTACTAACTTCTGAAACAGAAGTCATACAGATACAGTAGATAGTTTAAGCTTAAGATAAACACTTCCCTGAAAAGTATTAATTGATTTAATTTCAATTAACTGGACAGGCAAAAATCTAAAAGGAGGGGAGTCACTGTGTCAGGTAAAGGTGGTGGCAAAGAAAGATCTGCTCATTACATTCAGGAAAAATGGGAAATTTAACACAGCAAGAGGCCTGGAATTTATCTAGAAGGTGAAAAATGTGATTCGTAGCAAATTTGAATAAATTCAGAAACACAGCATACACGCATTGTCGATTACTAGTTATACACCGCTATTGCCAACAGAAATTAATTACGTACGTAAGTATATTATCAAGAAAGTCTATACCTTTGTTACATGTTTGATTGAACCAACTGTAAGGTTTCTTCGATGATGTTTCACACCTGGGAGATCCCAAAGGTGATCCAGCACAGCCTCTCCTTCTTCTAGTACATATTTCCGACCCTGGAACTTCGGTTTCTCATAAAAAATCCAACTGTAATAATGATATCATGAACTGAGTTGTTGCTGTTAAGTAAGACTGTCCTTAAGAGCTCTTCTTATCAAGCCAACTATCACACCTTTCTTATGCTGTCCCTCAGTAGCCACATTCACTTTAGACAAATATGGGGCTTGTAGTTCTGTGCTTTAAAAGTAAAATATACAATTCTCCTCCAGGACACAGCCTAACATAACTTAAAATATTAACTGTACGTAGTTCTGTGCTTTAAAAGTGAAATATACAATTCTCCTCCAGGACATAGCCTAACATAACTTAAAATATTAACTGTATAAAGATACAGCCAAAACACAATGTAAATAAAAAGCCTTATTTTACCAGAATAAATATCTTAATTGACACATCAAAACACATCCCGCTCAGGTAGATACTGTGTCAGGCATAAAAAACATATCCATACTAATAATGGCATTCAGTATTTCTTAGGACGTGAAAGAAATGTATGCAAAACCGAACAAGGCTGCCTCAAAACTGCATAAATATGACACGCATTGTTACTAACGCTGAGTCTGGAACATTCAATTCTAAGTGCCACCAATTAAATTCCAACGCAACAACGGATGTGGTGCCAGCCCCAGCATCCCAAAGCAAACCGAGAAACACTTGCAAAATCTACCTTAAAGGTACTTGTATATGATTCTGCGTCCCCATTCCTCTAAATGCTACATTACAAACAACAGCTGAGATGGTTCATTTTATGGTCCTTTTGCAACAGCTACTGTATAATGAAACTGAACTGTAAAAAAACCCCCAAAACACCCCAACATTTTCTTTAGCATACACGTGCTTCTTGTGATGATTATGGCTGTACTGTCTCAGCACTTCAGGCAAGAAGTCTTGTGGTTCTATTAGAGACTTTCTGTTTGAAGCTAGTTCCCAGGAGAAACAGTATTATTTTTTTTTTCTTTTTGTACTGCAGCATTTGAAGCCTTGTTTCATGCTTTTTTCATTGGTATCACTCTAATTATAAAGAACGAAAAAGACACTCTTGCAGATCAGATGTGTGTCATAAATAAAAGAAATGAAAATACAAGAGAAACACATATACAGTCTTTTGGAAAGACTCTATTTAAATATGACCTGGATTTCTTACCATCCTCTAATTATCCTAAGTAATGCTCCAGTGGGAAAGATCCAGGACGTGGTATCTAGCACATCAGAATGAACTTCTTGTTTAGTTTTGTCACCATGAATGTCACAAATAATAATCTGAAACAACATACAATACATACTTATGAAGGCCCATTTCAACATACAGTGCAGACAGTTATTCTTCCTTGGAATAAAACTTACTCCACTTTGTGCCCATTCAACTGACACGCTACGCATTTTCTTCTTTTATGAAATACACTACTGAACTATAACAGCAGTTGCTGACAGAAACACAGTAAAATTACTAGTGGCAGGATTTTTAATAATATAATTCATTATTAGCACGTGCAAGCATATGTACCATTAAAATAGAGAAAACTAGACTAACAACTTCAGATGCTTTCCATTCAAAAATTTTGGTGTAACAAATTGTTCCATGTATCATATTGATCTACACGACACAAATTCTGCTTACCTTTCCCGGTCTTGGATTGTATTTGAGACTCGCTCTGTCAATGAGGTTCTGAAATTAGAAGGACATGGAAAAAAACTATTAACATCTACAACAGTAGCACAAAGCAGAGACAGATTAATCTGGGTCCACTATTCCTATAAATGTATGCAACTGTCACTAGCAGAAACAACCAAGATTTGTTCCACTGTCATCCACAGTTGGTGTAAATAGTTTAACAAAATCAAGCAAGTGCTAGAAAGGAAGAACTATTATGGAAGTTATAACTCTGGAAATGTATAACCCTTTCCCAGCAAAAAATAAACTGCATGTCTTAACAGCGGCAAAACCAAAAGAGACCTCTAACACAGACTGAAATATTCCCAGCATCATGGAACGACTTTCTTTTTCAGTTATGCATTTGGTCTATGCGGCATTTTCAATTTCTAAATATTGGCAGAACTGTTTCCACACCCTCATCTGCCATTGCTTTAAATAAACTAAAAAAGAACTGCTAATCTATGGAAGCAGCTATATTACTTACTTGCTAACTGAGCTACGATTTGTAGACGACTCTGTGATGAAACAATCAAATAACCCAGTAAGTAGATATTTATGGTTTTGGGACAATACAGCTCTACTAATCTCAGAAGCGGAAGAAATGAAAGAACAATTTTCATACAAAAGCCTATTCCATCATCTTCAGGTTTAAATGTCCTTAACATGGCCAAGTCTGTGTTTTGCTATTATCCTGACTTGCTATTATGCATATTTTCCTATTATATTTTCTGTTCACATCTTGTTTTACAATTAACTCACCTTCATCTGTGTGATGAACCAAGAATATTATGGTTTTAAAATTATTTTATCAGAAGATAAATAATATAATAATTAATACCTGACATAATAATAATTATTTTTTAAAAATATGATCTTGAACAGTCTAGTTTTATTTATAATAAAAGAACTAACCTTAAAAAGGGAGGAAGGAGAGTAGTGAGACAGCAATTTTGAATCTGGGCTAATCGCTTTGATTATTAATATTATGTGACACAGCATCTTACCGCTGACAGTTCTTCCAGTTTTGGCGTGGTGTTGTCTTGATACCAATGAATCTTTGGCTGCAACATATCCTGGAGAATGCTTCCAAACCTGCTCCCCTTCTCAGAGGAGCAATTGGTGGCAGATTTCAAATACTGGTAGTACACACTTGTTGGAGGATGCTTTAAAGTGGCATCAGCTTTCTGTGAAATTGGCTTACAAGGTGTTTGACTGGGAGAAGCTGCATCTGGAAACAGTTCTGGTTGCTCCTTAGGGTCAAGTTGTTCTTTTGAAAGAAGAAGTGATTGTTCAGGAAACAAAGATCTACTTTGGTCATTCGATTGAAGGGTTGTTTTTAAATTCCCTCTCCACTGACTGGAAAGACAGTTGTCTTCTCTCTCAACATCAAGCATATTTTCTTCATATGATGATTCTTCCTCTTCCTCGTCCTCCACTCCTTCCTCCTCCTGCTCCTCTTTACCGAACCGGGTAGTAAACTGTAAGCGCTCAGAGACCGACTGGAGAAGGGAAAGCACAGAAGCATGGTCAGTGTTATCTTTAGATATTCCGCTAAGACGGCCTTCTGGTGACACGTCTGTGGAAAGTAAGTCTTCTTGGGAGCTGTCGTCTTCATATATTGGAGACAAAGAGAAAGGATATACTCTATAGCGCTTGGCCTCCACGCTCAGAAATGACTCTGAGCTACGGTTATCTGTTGCTTCGTTCAACTTGTTATCCTTCCCATAAAGGCAGGTTGGCTCGTGTTTATTCTTTGCTCTTTCACACATTGGATGATCCATATTATCTGAAGGCAAATCAGAGGAAGAAAGCAAACCAGTTGGCATATCATCAGTTGAGACAGATTTGTTCTCAGTTTGAAGGGCACCTTCATAAATGATAGTAAAAGAACTGTTTTCCCACTGTTCGATTAGTGGAGAAAAGGCCAAAAGATCTGTTGATTCCTTCATGTCATTGCTGCAGTCCAGACCATTTTCTTCAAGCTGATCATTTCTCTTCATGTCTTGATCCTTCATTTGTCCCTGCTTCAGATTCTCATTATTTTGGGCAAAGACTGTGTTGAAGCAGATTTTCCCTTCACTGTCCTCTGCAGTAACAGACAATTCAGGTACAACGAACTGTGTATTTAATCCACTATTAACCTCTGCTATCTCACTCGTCCCTTCTGCTAGTCCCTCTTTATTCTCCACTGCTTTTGAATCTTCTAAGGTTGCTTTTACTTGTGCAGGTACTTCTTCTGCAGCCTCTTTTCCGCAGTGTTCATACAGACTGTCCTCTGCACGGCTTTCCAGAGACCCTTGAGGACTGCTTTCATCTTTGAATTCATTCTGCATGCCGATACATTCTTCATCAGGCATAAAAGATGAGAAATTAACATTTATAGTTGACGGCAATGTGCACTGCGGTATATTTGTATTATTGCATGAATCTTTTAACTGCAATGACAAAAGCATCTCTTCGGTCACAGTAGCATCTCTATGTATTAAACGTAAAGATCCGTAACATTTTCTACTCGTCGCTGATACTCCACACATCTCTGCTGCAGCCAGATGTTCACACACCTTTCTATCATGTCTCTCTTTTACTGGTGTCATAAGATCTGATTCTGGCCTTGCTGAGCTACCAGTGGGTAGAAATCCATTTGTTTCACATGCAAATGCATTATTTGGTATCTTTTCACTTCTTCGGGGCCAATCTGTGCCACTTCCCCTACTATTTGGAAGCAAAGGAGGACCTGAGCAATCTGCCTTTTCACAGTTTACAGTTACACTCCGATTTTCCTCCTTCTCTGGGGGTTCCTGTGTTTTGGCAGGTAACTTCATATCCAGGTTTAAAATCTTTGGCATTCCAGCCTTAGGTTTAGGCTCAACCTTTTCAGAAAGCCTTTTACTTTCCCTGCCTTGGCACGGACTGGATGCCAGTTTTTGTTTGGCTGAGTTAATGACTTCATCAACTATTTCTTTTGCTTTTAGTGCAAGTGCACTATGTAGGTCAATTTTATCAGGGATGTAAGACAGTATTTTTTCATCTTGATTATTTGTACCCACTGTTTCATTTCCTGTAAATGAAGATGAGCCTCCTCCACTGCTTTCATTAAAATGTTTTAATGACTGCACAGCTGACTGGATTTCTTCTGCTTCCAGCTGTACAGTTTCAGCTTGCCAATCATTTAGAATATCCGTATTTATTAAACTGTCCTTGCTCCCACAAAGCTGGCAGACACCAATGGCTTGTTTTGCTATGATTTCTTCTGTAGCCAAGTGTAAAACCGAGTCCGCTATTTCCTCAGCTTTTTTAAACAAAAGAGCAGCATCTTGGAATCTAGCACATTCTTGTCCCTTCACACTGGTGTCTTCCCAGACTTCCTCAGAACAGAGCTCATTGGACTCTGTAGGTGCAGCAGCCGTTTGATCCTCCATCACAGAAGGGGTTTCTGCGATAGCTTCTGACTCAGGTGCCATTTCCAAAGGTTTCAAAGGACAGATGGGTGATGGTATTGCCCCTGCTAAGACACCGCTCTCAGCCTGTTGTGTGGAGGAGGCCTTCTCTGCCCCATCACTAGCTCCGTGCCTGGAAGAATTACTGTTCCCCTGAGCAACATCCAACATTTCCAAGACAGAAATGGAAAGGTTGGAGGCTTCCCTGGATCCCAGGGTAGGTAAAGTGGGCCTGGGGATGCAAACATCCCCCACATCTACTCCAGCAGCAGAGCTATCAAGCGTAGCTGGAGTAGGCTCAAGTTCCAGGGAACCAGCCAGGCACGAAGCTCTTGGGTCTCCTGAGCAAAGTGGCACCTCGGTCATTCTGTCCTCAGGGATTATTGTCCTAGGCTCAGCAGCTGGAAAAACAAAGCTGTCATGCTCAGAAGCAGCAGACCATCTAGCAATACAGCCATTTTCAGAGTTGGCAGCAGGAGAAGGCATTTTTCCTTGGTTGTCAGATGAAGACTCAAGTACTGTAGCTGATATCCTAGGCTTATTACTGTTTTCCTTCTGGGAAGAAAAATTAATACACCTATCTTCAGAAACGGGTGGAGATCCAGAAATGATGTCTACATCAACATCTTTTTCATAGATGAAAGCAGAATGGTTGCTCAAAGGTCTTCCTCCACATCTCAAGGCAGAATGAGAAACCTCCAGGTTTTTCTCTTGTGACTTAAAAATATGGGAGGAAACTTCAAAGATGCAATCTTTACACTCAGAAGGAACAAGAGCAACCTCAGTCATAGCAGTCTTGTCAATTTTAGAAGCAGCAGAAGTACAATCGTCTGTCCTGTCAATGGCGATTAAACTGCAAGGTGCAGGCTTTGCTGTGTTATCTTCTGCGAGTGTATCTAACGCCTTGGTAGGAATGTCCTGAACAGTTTCAGGGGAAACGGGACCATGGTTGGGGACCAGAATAGAGTTTTCTGAGAGGTTCTTCTCTACAGGCTCAAAGGATCTGCTCTTCTCATATTCAAGATCAGGATGAGAAAGCGCCTCTCTCGCATCTTTTAAACTGACTTCTCTTTTCCCTATAGTTTTACTTTTGAACTTGCAATTAGAGGCTGAGCAACAGCCTCCATTTTCAAAAGAAGACTCGTAAGTTACAGAGAGAGGTGCTGTCAGCTCATCGCAGTTAGCTTTCACACTTTCACACCCATGTACGCATGACGGTACGTTGGCAAGCTTTTCCACTGCAACCTCAGATAAAACGTTCATTGTTTCCACGCTCTCAGTTTCTAGACAAGGTAAACCAGTCTGCTGTGTGGCAGTATCCTTACAATTCTCCACATGGATTAACCGGTGATCATTTTGTACATGCATTGGTTTCCCTAACTCACTGAGTTCTTCATTACAAGTCCCCCTGTCCATGACTGTGTCTTCATCATTTTTAACAGATGATACTGTAGTAGTTAGATTATCTGTGGCTATGCATTTTTCTTCTTTGGATTCCATGCCAAGCAAAGTGGACGTTTGTTCATTAAAAGGTAAAAGAACACTAGCAAGAAAGTTCTGTGGATTTTGCTCTCTTTCTACAGTTACCACAATTTTTTGCATATCACTTTTTCTTGGATCACTATCTTTATTTGCACTATCTGTATGCTGATCTGCTTGCTGCTGAAATATAGTGGTACTGGAATGAAGCATCTGGACATCCGATGTTAGCTCCGAGTGAGTGTCCACTTGACAGTTACAGCAAAATTCTCCCTTACTCATCTGTAGTTCTTCATTAACTGTCTTACTTTTTGATTTGAGTGAATGTAAACAATCATCCCACATTTCTTTTGTGGACTCCTTATTAGCTGTTTTACTACAATCGTTTTCTTTATCAAAGTTAGAAGTGGCATTTTTGGCTGCCTGAAACAGAGTTTCTGCTTCTCCCAGCAGTCCATCTTCTTTCCTAACCAAATCGTTTGCAGAACTCATTTTAACGGAATTGGTAATCTGGGAATTGGAATTGGTTAGGAACTCTCCGTGTCTACTACTAGATGACAACAATGAATCTAGTGAATATGTCCTTCTAACTTTTGTTGCAGCTAAGGCAGGCGTCTGTTTTAAGTCTATCTCATGAGATGATTCAGTAGATGAAGTTGTGGCCTTTGCAGTTATTTCATGTTTACTGCTACTCAAGCAATGCTGAGCTTTACCAGACTTTCTCCTTCCCATTTTAACTGCAGAAGAATTTACTATGGCATCATCTTGGTGATCTTTACCCTCATCTTCTCCATTTTCTTGTATTAAGTGTCCTGATTTTGGAGAGACAGTCGTTTGGATTTCTCCGTTCTCTTTGACCATTGAAGCATTTCTGTTCCCAGTCCTTTCTTCTCCTTTTTCAGCCATTTCCGATTGATTCTTCAGTAGCTGCCTAATCCTTGCAGAACCTCGATATGTTGCATAAGTGACTGCAGGTGCTTCTGGCTTCCGTTGCATCTGCCTGTAACAAGGATCATCATTATCAGCACAAGACAGACTACCTGAATAGCTAGTGCGATAATAAAAGTTAACACAAACTGTAGAGGATGTACAGCACTGTTCTCCTCCACAGGTTAGCACAAACAGTGGATAGCATGCAACACTATTTTCTTCCTATTTTTGCTCTTCCTAAATATGGATCCGTGTGACAAATGGTACATACACTACCTTTTACGGAAAAAGCCAAATGAAATTATAAGCAAAAAGTAGATGTTCCTATAAACAACTTCCATAATTTGCTTTCTACTAGACAATAGAATTACGATTTACAAACGCCACTGCAAGTCAACATTTGCAGTGACAGAAAGAAGCATACTTTTGTGAAGATGTTACATCCTACTAAAGCAGGTGTATACTTTAAAACTCAGAAAAAAAATTACTGTACTAATGTTCATTAAAATACTGAATTGAGATTTAAATTTTTACCCAAGCTCTTAACATATTGTTAAGAAACATGACGAGGAAAAGCAAAACATGTAGAGAAAATATACAACAAGGGATGCTTTCTGAACCACAGGGTAGTAAGGAAAGAGAGTGATCAGGTAAGAATGAAGACTGCTTGAATGCTAGAAGAAATACCAAAATGAGAAGCCGAGAAATGTGACAAGGAATTGGCAGCTCTAGCCATTCATTAGTCTTAAATTTAGTAGCAAAAAAAGTGAATGCAAAAACTAACAAATGAAAGAATCACCATGGAAAAACTGATCCTGATCCTTCACTGCTCTTTCTGATACTACTACTGATAAATTCAGAGCCTGTCACCTTCAGTTTTCTGAAGGAGCAGTTTTTCTTCTTTCCTAAAACTAACAGACTTCACAAATACCTTTCTTTCTAATGCTTCTTTCCTTCCTCCCTATTTTTTTGTCAGTTAAAGAATTCTTTAATTCTTTAAAGAATTCTAATAATCAGGCAGTGGCAATATGAATGTGACTGTCAGCTTTTCCATTCTTCACCTTAGGATAAAGCAGACATTCAGACTGTGCTTAAACTCCATTCTGCCTCAGCCTCCACCTAAACTAAGACTGAACTCAACTCCTATCCAGCCTGACCCTATCTCTGCTAACCCAGTGCCTGGAAGTGGCCATTCATCTGTCTGGGAAATTCTCATATTCCTTTCTGAAAAGTCTCTTGAGGAAAAAAAAGAAATGTTAGCTAAGATTTTGATTTCTTATATGAAAGCATTGCAATAGCTAAAAAATATCTTAATAGTATTTTTTAAAGCTCTTTGCAGCTTACAATTAGTTCATATTTATTGAGAAGTTATTACAGCTCTAGAGTTGAGGATAAATAATTTAAGTGAGAAATAGAACATAAATTTACTAAGGGAAACAGAACAACAAAATAAATAATTTTGTTTATCTGAGTATCATTGAGTAACTGTAATTTCAAATATTGTCTGTATGATTCTGAGTATGTATTCTGTCAACAGGTATAGAAAAAAAATATAAGAGTGGAGGGGATTTACCAATCTAAAACAGAATCTCTTTTCTGTCAAGGTTTTAGAGGCCCAGATTATTACTTCAATATTAAATTTTATTTTGAAGCGGGAACTTAACACCATTTAAAATCACAAGTAAACTCCTTCCTTATGCAGTATTTGGACATGTAAAGAATACAAGTAAACTAAAAGTGAAATTATTCATATCCATAAACAATAAAACAGAGATATAAACAGTCATTTATATGTGTGTTTTACATTGCCAGGTATATTTAGGCTAATGACAAAATACATGAACACAGGCATTTAGACATTGTAAGAACCTGAAATTAAGTTTGGATTGGGATCAAATTAATTGTAATCTCTGATGAAGGCTACAGCAGAATCTCAATATAGGGTTTATTAGCCAGGTATATTAAGTTATCGAGGAAACAGGGAAGTCATGTAGAAATAGCACGTTTCCCAAGTGTTTGCAAAGTTAGATGCCTACGTTTAGTCTTCTATATCACTAGTTTGGTTTCCAGAGATACCAACAGTGGTAGTTGCTAAACATCACATGCACCATTTGTTAAAGTTGCTGCCTTCAGCATTCACACCTCTTCCAAGAAACATGCACATTTCTGAGTGAAAGAAAACAAAACACAGTCGGAGAAGGGGTAGGAGAGCGAAAAAAATTTTTTTGTTTGTTTTCCTTAAACCACCCAACCAACATTATTTTCCACTTTCACAGAAAACTTTCTTCTACATTAGAAAGTATCTTCCAAAGATCCAGAGATCCTAAAAAATCTCAGGGGAAGGATCTGTTGAGTTTTGTAGGACACTCTATTCCCTTGGCATCAAATGGTCATAGCCAGAATAAAAGTAAGTCTTAAGAATGTAAGACCTGATCATGCTCTCATTCAGAATTAACCTTACTGAGTAACCTCTCCTATTTCAGTTAATTCAGAATGAGGTCAAAATGTTTTAAATAATCACTATTTAGTTTTTACAAAATCCATCAGCACTCCTGTATTTTGGTCATCCTCAAAAATCAGTCTACAACCGTTCTCAATCCAGATAAAATTTCTTTCAAGAAAACAAACGGAACACTCCAACAAGTTTACAATTTTCCTTTTCAGGAATCCGTAAAAGATGCATTTTTAAAGTGAGCACCTTAATGGTATTGCAAGGTACCACACACTCATTTCCACCAAAACCAAGGCATTCTTCTGAATAAACAGCTCGACAACAATTAATTTTTACCGAGTGTGTTTCATTTCACGGTTGATACTTTGTCTGATATGCAGTGGGAAGAATTCAGAATTTTTCTTTAAACACGTGGTGAGAACCAGTGCTCTAACACAAACTTGGAAAACGTCCTTCTGTTTGTCTCCCATACTAAACTTTGCCTTCAAATTTCTCCCACGAACTCAGCAATTCTTAAACCCGAATCATCCAGAAATAGAATGAACAGGTTAATTTTACAGAATTACACAGGGATGACATGGAGAACCCAGCATGATAGGGTACTGTATCTACATTGATTTGAGCCACAGATCTCAACAAATAGTTATTCCCTTTATTACGTGTGGTCAACACAAAGGTACTCAGAAGTTTCTTCTTGCCTATGTGGCACCTTTTATTTCTCCCAATTCTTTTTGCTCTCTGATTGTCTTCTGAGGGAATTTTAGGCTCTGATTGATCAATCCGAAGCCTGAGCAAGACTCAAAACAACCTGCCCTACGGAGCTCTGTGCACGAACCCAATCCTGACTAGTGCTAGCTACAGCACCGCTTCAGCTGCAGAGCCTCATCTTGTAGTTGGCCTCTGCCAGTGTCTTCTAACACAGCTCCGCTTTCCTGCAGACTTGCCTCTACCAAGAGTTTCTGCAGTGGATACTATTCTAAAAGGGAACCAAGCTCTCCTCCACAGACATGGAAACTTCAGGATCTCTGACCTTTGATAAAGAATTTGCCCCTCGACATGTTATAAAAAATTTTGCCAACAGACCTTTTAGTCCTAATGCATTTACTTTTAGAGCACATAGAAGCGTGGTTCAGTCTGAATGCTGACATGCAACAAGACATTTAAAAAATGAAAACCCACGTTCCTATGCGGCAGCAGCAATTCAGCTGTAAGTTTTCTGAAACACATTTAGAAGCAGGCTGTGTCACAGAAAATCTTTTGAAAGTGTCACTAGAGACTTGTTTCGTAGACTTTTAAAGTAACAATTCATTTCTGATCACCAAAAGACTACATTAGTTCAGAACTTACCTTAAAAACTCTTTGCAAAAATTTTTTTTCAACTCATATGAGGATACAGATGAAAGCCTGATTATACACAGAATCCAGTGTGTATTCTGTCACATATTTCAAATACCGGGAGATTCCTTCTTTCCCTTCTTCACAGGAAGCTATTCAATTCCCTATAAAGCCTTAATTCAGTTTCACAAAAGACTGTTTGACAGCAACAAGAGAGGATGTCAACATGAGTTACGTTAAATCTGTCAAAAGTAGGTGCTTGTAGAGATTTCTTCTATTCTGAAAGAGAAATAAAAAGTTCAAGGGGGACTAATTCAAGGAGGCATGGGCAGCATCTTCTGACATGTCATATGACAGACATCTTGTGTAATTTGCCCAAAAAGTAGCATTAGTTATAAAACAATCTTACTGGTTTTGAAGCCCTGAGGCAGGAGGAAACCTACTACCTTGAATGCCTCATCTCAGTGCATCCATTTTTCAAGTATATGTCATCAAGATGGTAACCCCTCCAATCCTCTTATTTGTACTGCATAATAATGCAGAAAACAGACAACCCTAGATTATTTTCAGAAAGATGGAGGAAGATCATACAGCATGATACGGCACTACATGGATATAGTATCTTAGATCCCCGGGCAGCACAGCTTCATTCGCACAGCATGAGGAACCTTCCATGTGAGGAAGCCCTTACAAGCACCATCACTGCTGGCTGTGTAAGCATACGTACTGGTATGTGTAACCATACTGCTGGCTAGCCTGTTTCCACAATATGCAACACTTGGCTCTCCCAAGACACACAATGGCCATTTTTTTTTTCCTCATACTTCACTCTTCCAGCTATTTTCTCCCCAGCCCAGCAGTCTCCTGCTTTTTCAAGCATACATACGCATGTTTCCCCTCATCTCCTCTCACAGACCTCTCAGAAGTAGCTCCCAGAGCAGAGAGATCTGCAGGCTCCAGGCTGAAAACCAATGATCTAAATCAGTACGTCTCTTCTGGTTCCTGTCTATCCCTCCCTGACTATTTTAAAATTATGCTATTGTTTATTTTCATTTTTTCCACTTAGCTTTTTTTTCTACTGCATACTTTACTGACAATTTTTTTTTAAAATTATGTTAAGGTCTTTTGCCTGGAAACAACTGTCTTAAAGTCACTTTGAAAAAGCTTTTGGTGAAATCCAACTTAGCCA